CCGCAAAAAAAAAAAAAAAAAAAAAAAAAAAATTATATCAATTACATTAAATCCCACCCATTTCTATCGAATCAGTATGAGACTATCCCCCCCTTTAAGTATGAAACCATCTTGAATTGTGCTCCCACTACAGTGTCCACTAGCTACACATGTAGCCATTAAAATTAGAATTGAATAAAATTAAAAAATAATTCCTCAGTCACACCAGCCCCAGCCCCATTTCAAGTGCTCAGCTGTCACATGTGGCCAGTGGATACTGCACTGGACAGTGCAGGAAAGGAACATTTCTATCAATGCAGTAAGTTCTACTGGACGATGTTGATCTAGAAAGCTCAAGAGTAGAGTAACTGGCACTCTAAAATGAGCAGCAAGTCTAAAGAGCAACACAGTACAAGGCATCTCAGAGTCTGAGAGACGTTTCTGTTTCTTAAAAAAAAAAAAAGGAAACTATAGAGGTTTGACTGTGTATGGAAAATTGGATTGAGAAGCTGCTCAAGAATGTGAAGACTTAACTAGATTGATGAAGCTAAGCAACTGAAAAGGTTATTAAATTCAGAAAAAGAGATTATGCAAGACAATAAACATCATAATATACCACAATATTTACACAGCAATAATAATACTGGATAGAGATTTCAACACAAACGCTGTAATAAAACTACACTGGTAGGATGAGGGGTGTTGGGAGAAGGTAGAAGCCTCATCTTTATATTTCAGAGGAAAACCATAAATAATATCTAAAACTTAAATATCAAAAAAACAGCAATAGGTAAGTTTCTTGAAAATATGATCTTAAATAACAAGAGAAATAGGTAACAGCTGAGAGTGATTAACCTCTGGGGAATGAGAAAAGGGTGGAGAAGCCAAGCAGCAGGAGAATGTGGTTTTTCATTATAGACCTCATATAACTATTCCCTTTTTTCAACTCTGGACCTGTATTACGTATATACTTCAAATTCCAGAGATTCTTTTTAAAAAAATTCAATGTCTAGAATTAACATGTGAAAAGTTCCTAATTTTTGATAAAAATTTAAAATTTGAAAAAACAAAAAACACAAACCTAATCTTCAATTTCCATGTTCCCTCTGCCCCAACTTCAGCTACTATCCTCTTTCCTATTTATCGCCCCACATACTTCACTTACTATTCAACCTACTGCAAACTGGTTAACTGGATTGTAATTTTTTATTTTTTGCTTCTTTAAACTCCTGGGTTTTTGCTATTTTTCTACATCAAGCATGAAGTGCTTTTCATACTAAGCAGAAAAAGGTTAAATAACTTAGAAAGTGGAAAACAATAACTATCTGGAAAGGTCCAACTCAAAGGTAATTTCTTCCAAGAACTATCTCCCCTAATAAATTATAAATTCCCTTGCAGTCGTATCTACGAATATCATGTTTTTATTACTCACAGTGCCCATCGCACAGTATCCTGATGAAACAGAGACACAACCAAAGGCTCATTTCAACCCTCGGGGCCAAAAACAAAAAACCATAACCAAAACAAACAAACCCAAGTCTAATCTCTTTCACAGGTGAATTCTTCAAATGTTTAAAGGCTGCTATCATGCTCACCAGTTCATCCACTGCATTGCTGAAAAACCATTCAAGAGTTTCTCACATGACATGATTTTTGCTCTTCTAAATTAGCACCAGTTTAATTATTAATGCAGTCTAAGATCATTAGCTATTTTTTTAAAAGGCTACACCACATTATCAATTCAGATAAAATTAATGCTCAACTAAAACCCTTAAGACTCTTTAAGGTAACTCTTAGGTGAACTTCCCCTCCACCTGCCCCACCTCCCTTTGTATGGGTTTTTGGTGCCTTTGGGCGGCGGGACGGGCGTTACATCCTTGTTCAGGACCTTAAATGCATTTTTTCCTTTTAAAAAAAGTCATCTTGTTAAAATTCTACCTACTGTTACATTCTGCTTAGATGTTCTGAGATTCCAATTTTGTTGCACTGGTACTTTTCTCAAATTCTCCACAATTAGATAAACAGAGTCACTACAACTTCATCGAATGCAAACATAAATATCAACCTCAGAAACAGTATAAACTAGATGTTCACCTGTCTAGACGTATTTAGAAGAAACACCTCTATTGGATGGAGACTGAACTTCATAGGTTCTAAGAACTTCTTCTAAACCTAATTTTGGTCTGTAATTGATTAACTCTTGTCAAAACTTACTTATTTCATTCCTTTAGCTACTCTCAACAGGGTGGTTCACCAGGATCTGCCAGCCTTCTCAGCATACCCCAATGGGTGGCTGCCCCTAGTAATTACTCTTCCTTTACAATGATTCCTTTGAAGATTACTTTTAGGGTAGGATGGGTGGGGGACCTGAGAGGAACATATAGGATAGAGTCATGTAAAGAAGTATAAGATCAGGCTCAAGGGATTCTTGTTCTTCAATCTTCTATAATTAAGGTCCTTAATAAGACTTTCAAATATTTAGATGATATAACAACTTTTTTAAAACAAAGGAATCTGGGTCAAAGAAGAAATCATAAGGGAAATTAGAAAATACTTTGAGATGAATAAAAAAGATCAAACATACTAAAACTTACAGGAAACAATGAAATACTTGTAAATGCCTATATTAAAAAAGATCTCATAGGTATAACTGAATCACTTTGCTATACACCTGAAACACAATACTGTAAATCAACTGTACTTCAATAAACAAGAAAAAAAAAAGACCACAAGTTAACACTCTAACCTTCCACTTTAAGACACTGGAAGAAACAGACCAAACTATACCTAAAGCAAGTCAGAAGAAAGAAAATAATAAATATCAGAGTGGAAATTAAGGAAGTAGAGAACAGAAAAATAGAGAAAATTCAATGAAACCAAAAAAGTTGGTTCTTTGAAAAGATCAACAAAATTGGCAAACCATTAGCTACACGGACCAAGAAAAAAGAGATCAAGTACTAAAATCAGGAATAAAGAAGGGACATTACTACCTATGTTACAGAAATAAAAAGGATCATAAAGAAATTTTTATTAACAATTGTATGAAAATAAATTGGACAACTTAGATGAAAAAGACAAACACCTAGAAACAAACTATCAAAACTAACAACAGAAAAAGCTGAATAGTCATATACCAAGTACTAAAGAGACTGAATTAGTAAAGAAACTAGTGTCAAAGAAAAGCCCATGCCCCAGTGGCTTCGCTAGTGAATTCTACCAAACGTTTACAGAAAAACTAATACAAATTCTTCACAAACTCTTCCAAAAACTAGAGGAGGAGGCCTTCTCATTTTATGAAGCCAGTTATTATCCTGCTACCAAAACCAAAGACAACAGCACGAAAACTACAGACCAGTATCTCTTAAATACAGATGCAGAATTCCTCAACAAAATACTAGCAATCTGTATCTGAAAACATAAAAAAGGGATTATACACCATAACCAAGTGGGATTTAGCCCAGGAAGGCAAAGTTGGTTTAACATTCAGAAATCAATGTAACACACTGTATCAACAGAAGAAAAAGAAAGCAATCATTCTTTGCTCACAATAGGGAAATGTAACAAAGGAAAAAAAAAAAAGAGTTCAAATTTCCTTAAACTTTAAAAAATGAGGTATAAATAATACAAGTGAGAAACAGAAAGGATGGAGGACACCTGTGGGGATGTTCCAGATTTTCCAAGCTACAGAAAAATAAAAGGCTCCTTACCCTAGACTGGATCCTGTACTGCAGAGAAAAATGCTATAAAGGTCATTTTGGCATCAACTGACATAATAAGAATTTGGACAGATTTGACAAAAGTAAATTATCAATTTAAAATTTACTAAAGTTGGTAACTTTATTGTGACTCTGTAAAAGAATATCCCTATTCTCAGGAAACACACACTGAAAAATTTAGGTGTAAAGGGCCATAATGAATGCTGTAGAGAGAGGGGGTGGAAGACGAGGGGAGGGAAGACACGATAAGACAAATGGAGTAAAAGGCTGAAAATAAGTGAATCCAGGTAGTTTCTTTTTGAAATTATTTACAAGTTAACAACACAGAAAAAGCAAAACAAAGCAGAAACCATAATTAGAAAATGTTCTACATTCCTTTTTTAACATATGATATGATACAGTGGAGAAAGCGCTGGCTTGAATTCTACTTCTTTTACTAACAATCCACAAGGCTTTCTAATGTTTTAAAACATTATTTGAGCTAGATGAAAAATGAATCCTGCTAAGAAATAAAACACAAACATTAAAAATAAAACACAAACATTAAAAATATAAACTTACTGTTTTAAATAACAGAACTTTATAGTTTTATGTTATTTTATGCCCATTAATGGTCACATTCAGAATTCTGAATGCTCAGAAAAGTCTCTAGGAACTAAAAAACAAAAAGACTGTATTTTGGTTGGCATATTCCATAAACTTTGACCTTGAGCGTTTCTCATTTCTCCTCCCATTCTTTCAACTGCTTCTTCTGCTTATTCCTCTATGTTTATCAAATACCTTAATGTCTGAGTAAATAGTTTATAAAACACTTATTGTACAGCATTAACTATGTTACAAATCAGCATACAGGGCCTCTTGCTCTTCTGAGGAAAAGTGCTGCACAGTGCTGGGTATACAACAGAAACAACTTCAGTAACATGGAATTATTGTATTTATTATGTTCAAAACACCAACTCCATTAATAATTTTGTACTGGTGCTGACTTCCGGATCTTAGTTCCTCTTATAAAAAGAGGGATGTATACAAAACTTTTTATACAAAAAGTTTTATACAAAAAGAGGGATTTATACAAAACTTCATGTTCTATTATTATCTCCTTGACTTTACGTCCTTAACCTAATAATGAACTACAGGTACTTATAATTCCAAACACCCTGCTTTATTCCAATCTCCATGACTCTCCACATACTGTTCTTTCAACTTGAAATGTCCTTTTCTAGCTTGCACTCTCCTTCCTACAGAGTTGTCATTTGCATCATATGCACTTGAACATAATTCTACTTTTGCATTTAATTGCTCCGTGAGAGCTGACTATTTGTAGGCTGGTCTCTCCTACTAACCATGAGTTCCTTGATGGCAAACACTCTCCAGAGTTTAGCACTGTGCCAAATAAATAATAATAAGAGCTTACACAAAGGAGGGTATAATTATTAAGTCTGTATTATTATTAAGCCCCCTTCAAAGATGAAGAAACATGGACAGAAAAATGAATACTTTTCATTTTTAAAGTAGTATACAATCAGAATAAAACATGTACACACACTTTAAGCTTCCAATCTTGACCAAGAAACATTTTAGAGTTCCATTCTAAACTACTGATACTAGCATGTCACATTGCCACGTAAACTCACTTATCTCAGTTTAACTGCAAACCATCCCGGTGCACCTTCCCGACACACACTGATTCTACTAGTCTGCTCTTCATCAGTATTGAGAAACTTCTTCTAGCCCAGAAGTTTACAATCTCTGATGCGTATGGTCCCAGACTAGCAAATCTGAATCCTATCCCTTCTTTCTTAATCTATTTGTCCGTTCCCCTTCTATTTCCTCTGCCACAAATGACCTGGAAAAGCCAGAAGCAGATAACGCTACTTTAATCTGTTCCGGGACAGAGACTGTATAGCACAGACTGCCTGGGCTGGAATTCTGGCCACCGGGTTCTAGCTGCCTTCTAGTGGGAAAATTAATCTTATGGAGCCTCAGTTTCACTCATCCGTAAAATGCTCCTCAACTACCTGCCTCGTGAAGATTCAATAAGTTGCAAACCACTTATAACGATGCCTCTCCGATAATAAGCCTCAACAAGTGTTATTATTAACACCCTAAAGCCACACTGCTGCTGCTCAAACGTTGAGTGTCTCCCGCTGACAGAATAAAAGCTAAATATTTTAGCCTAACATTCAAAGATCTCCAGTCTAATTCCATCCTACCTCCGGATCGATACCTTCCACTATTTTGCCATCTAATTCTCAACTCCTAACAAAACGATCTGCAGTGGAACTTCTAGCTCGGCAGAGGGGCTTCTGCCCTCTTTTCAAATTTCCGGTATTATCTGCCCTACAGGGTGCAATTCAAAGCTCACCTCCTCTCCAGATTCTCCCGACTCACCCCAACCCCGGGAAACGTGCCCCTCCCCCGAGCTCCCGCAGCGGCTCACCCCATTCATCCGTCCTCCTCCCCCACCCCGCCCGCTCAGCAATGTGAATGATGTTCCCGCGGGTCCCGCGGAGGCGTCGAGATCTAGGGGCGGGGGTATGTCCCCTTCTTTGTGTACCGCACAGGCTCGCGGACCCTAGAACGCGCACTAGGAGGCAGCCTGCTGTTGCTGCAAGAAAGTTAGTCGCCGACGGGAAAATTGGCCCGAAAGGGAACCCAGCGGAGCCGTTTCCAAACTGGGCAGGTGCCTGAGTTGTAGGCGCGAGGAGACAAGAGGGGCGTCCAGGAGGTTTCCCGGAGGTGGGGGCGGGGCTCAGCCGAGGGGCGCGCGCCGGCGGCGCGGGGCTGCAGGGGGCTCGCGCGCGGGTCGCGGGGACGCGTGGAGGCCCTCCGTCCCCGCCCGCTCACCTTCTCCTCCTCTTCCTCCTCCTCCTCCTCCTCCTCCCCGGCAGAGCTGTAGGCCTCACAGTGGTGACGAGGGGTCATCCGGGGGCCCGTTACCACCTCATTTTCTTCAGCGCGCGGCGACGGGGCGCGCGGGACGAGGACGGGGCCGACTGAGGAGGGAGAAGAGGGGAAGCGGGCCGGAGAGCGCGGGCGCTGGCGCTCGAGCGGGACGCACGGCTGGGGCCTGTGGGTCGGTCAGCGAATTAGTTCCATGACGCCCCCGGACCTGAGGCCGCCGCCGGTCCCGCTCCTCCAACCGCCGCCGCTTGTGCCCGGGTGGGGAGGGGGTTCCCTCTCGCCATAGGGCGGCGGGGACCGGGGAGAGGCGGGGGGTGAGACCGGCTCTGCCCCTGCCCGGGGGAAGCGCCTCCGAGGGGAAATGGTGAAAGGGGGGGGAAAGGGGGAAAAGGAAAAAAAAAGGAAGGGGAAAGGGGGGGAAAAAAATAAGAAAAAACGAGACAGAGGCGCTGCCGCGTCCGCTCGCGGGGAAGGCTGGGGAGGGAGGGGAAGAGAGAAAGAAGTGCCGGTTTCGTCAGCTCCGCCCTCGCGGACCGATTCCTAGACGCGCTCACTCCTTGTAAACAACACTGAACTGGCCTCTGGACCCTCTCCCGTTTTCCTCCCCGCCGCCTTCTCCGTCCAGCGAACGTACAGAGAAGTCCGGCAAAAAGCTGGGCTGTTGGAAACGGGCTGGGAAAATCTCTGGCATTGGGGTGGGAGGAGGGCTAAGAGAAGCTAACTGTGCGTGGACTCGTTTTCCTTGGAGGAGCGGAAGGGTTCCTCTTCGACTGCACGGTGACGTAAGCGCCTCCTCAGCTCGCAGGCGTGCGGTGGCCGGAGAGTGCGCTGCGCATGCGCCCCAGGGAAGAAAGAAGCAGCTGAGCGCTTCGCTTGGGGGTGGGGTCTTATAGGAATGCTCCTCTGGCTGAACCGAGCGTTACGTGGTTTCATCCAGCCTGTCTTTGTCTCTGGGGCTTGTAAAAGGATTTTTGTTAGAAAGGGCCGCGATCTGTTGTGTAAAGATCTTGCGTTCTTTGTTGACCTCGCAAAAAGTTCTGTGTTCTCTTCTTACCATTGACGTGTAAATAGAATTGCGGGTTTTTTCGCTGCCACGTCGTGGGTGGAGGGAGATTCTAAAGCGCATTAGAAATCGGGAAATTGCAGGGAGCATGGTGTCAAGCACCTTCTAAAACAGTAAATTATATTGCTGGCAGCAGGGAACCTGCTTTGTAACGCGCCAGGGGAATTCTATCCACTTAACCAACACATCTGAGTATTTCCGAGTAGGTTTTATTACCAGGTCTTTAACGAGTGAGTGGTGACATATAAATGTGTTTTATTTGGGGTTTCTTTACGGACCTATGGTAAATTTTGCTCATCTTTTAATCGTTTTAGTTATAAAAAGAAGAGTAGAATTACAGAAAGTTTTGAAAGAGAAGAAAACCGTCAAACTCAACCATTTACGGAAGTAGCTGATCTGTGTTTCCATTTGTCTTTTTATATGCCTTTTTTAAGTCACTTAAATTTGTTTTAAGCTTTTTCAGCGAGCCAGGGGCTAATAAGCTCTAGCAAGCTGGAATTAACCAAGACAAATAGCTTCTACCTTCATGGAGTTTACAATCCAAACACTGAGCTAATTATCACTATCTGAAATCACCCAGTACGTTGATTTGCTTACTTGTACATTGTATTCTCTCCTTAGAATATAAGGTCTAGGATGGCAGGGATCTTGCATGTTTTATTTCACCCTGTATTCCTGCATGTAAGAGGCTCTCAGTATTTTATTACTGACTGAATAAACAATTACCAGTATCAAAAGTATTAAGATGGAAAATTGCAGGCTGCTATGGAAACACTTAATCCTAGCCTAGTCAGGCATATCAGAGGAGGTTTCTGTGAGGAAGAGACATTTAAGGTGAGACTTGAAACCACTTGGGCATAGAATTGGGTAAAGAGTGTTACAGGCAGAGGGAACAACAAGTGCAAAGACTCGAGCTGAGACATTCTAAAAATCTCGGAAAGGTAGTGTGGCTGGTCCTCAGAACTGAAGGCTGGGGCAGGGGGCAGGTCCCTATGACAGAACAGGGAAGGGAAGCCCAGGAAGGATTTTAAGTGGATCGTATTTTGCTTTTTTCACCTCACGTAGTCTTTCTTACGTGGGCTTTATTGCTACATGGTCTTCCTTCTATAACACATCAGCAACATTTTTTTGCACAATACCATTCACTGCAGGACCATGAAATTGCTTCTGATTTTCACTACTTTAAGAATAATACCAATTCCATTCCCAGATATGTAGTCAAGAGAAATGTAAACCTGTCCACACAGAGACTTGTACCTGACTGTTCATAACAGCATTATTCATAATGGCCAAAAAGGTGAAACAACATGAGTGTAAGTCAAATGTGGTATATCTATAATATGGAATGTTATTTGGCCATAATAAGGAGGTACTGAATTATGGTGTAACATGAATGACCCATGAAAACAATGTGCAGTCCTTTGTGGCTGGCTTCTTTCACTTAGCGTAATGATTCCATTTGTATGAAATGTCCAGAATAGGCAAATCTATCGATAGAAAGTAGATTAGTGGTTGCTTGAGACTGAGGATGGGGATGGGATTGGGGAATGATAGGTAAAAGTTTTGGCGTTCCTTTTTGATAAAACTATTTTACAATTGATTGTGGTGATGGTTGCAAACTAAATATACTAAAAACTATTGAACGGTACACATTAAATAGGTGAATTGTCTGAGAGGTCAATACAGCTGTTACCAAAAAAAAAAAAAAAAAAGGGGAGAAGGGGAAAAAACCAAAAAGAATACAATTAACATCTTCATGTGTAACCTTTTCTGGGTTATTCCTGAGTCCAACGGTATTTATACTTTTACGGCTTTTGATGAATACCCATTTGCCAAATTGCTTGGCAGAAGAGTTGAATCAATGAAAATGTAATCTGAGTATTTAAGAGTTCTCACTGTGGCCTCTTCCGTTGCGGAGCACAGGCTCCGGACACGCAGGCTCAGCGGCCATGGCTCACGGGCCCAGCCGCTCTGCGGCATGTGGGATCCTCCCGGACCGGGGCATGAACCCGTGTCCCCTGCATCGGCAGGCGGACTCAACCACTGCGCCACCAGGGAAGTCCCTGAAACTTAGTTTTAATAAAACTGTCTTACTGCCTGTGAGATTGCCAGTGACAATTTAATCTAGAATACTGTAAATATAATTACAAGTAATTAATTGGTGGGTAAGGAACTTGTTCCAGTTGTCCTAAGAAAATATATGGACATTCTTTTTCTTTACTATTCATTCAAAGACCTTACTTTTAATCAACATCTCTTTTTTGTTAATAACTGTAGTAGTTTTTTAAAAAATTAAGTGTAGGTGTAACAAATGGAAAGACTTTGAAATTCCCTGAGAAAATAAATAAGGCATATAAAGAAAACATTAAAATCCTTGTATTGGTAAGGAATTCATATTTTTTCATTTTAAAAATATTTTAGGAATATTTTGTCACAAATAGTAAAAATTTTACTAAAATTTAAAAAGTTAACATTTAATAATATTTATTATTTAATTAATATTAATATTATTTATTATTTAATTAATATTAATAACAACATTCAATTAATAAAATAGTAATTGGTTATTTACTAATAAAATAATGTTTATTATTTAATTAATAAAACTACCACCTTTCTATGTGGTATTTGAGAATAATAATAACTAAAATATATTGATTACTCACTGTGTACCAGGCATTGCACCAAGCACTTCTATTGCATTCTCTTCTGTTTATTCCTGCAGAACTCCTCTACTGTAGGTATTTTTGTTATCCTCATTTTTCAGAAGATAAAGAGGTAAAGTAAAAATAAACAACAACCAAAAGAGGTAAAGTAAATCCTCAAGACTGGTCACACAGCTTGGAGAGGCAGAGCCAGGATTCAAACCCAGTTTGCCTGACTCCAGAGCCTGATGTGCTTTTAGTCACTACCCTTTACTGCCTCACCCTGTGGGTATTACTGGCTTGCATGGAAGTCTTTGAACAAAAATACTCACCCTATGGTTATTTTTGGCTTGCCTTTAATCTTAGAACAAATATTCAAAAAAAAGTTTTTAGTGACTAGTTAATATTTGTGTTACTAGAGAGTTGATTTTTGCTTGAAAACAGGTTATTAAAATTTTCTTACACTTGTTTTATTTCATGACTAGAACATTAAATCTTGAAATATAAACATGTCCTGCTTCAAATGCAGACTAAGGAGGAAGCTGGGGGCTTCCCTGGTGGGCGCAGTGGTTGAGAGTCCTCTTGCTGCTGCAGGGGACACGGGTTCGTGCCCCGGTCCGGGAATATCCCACATGACGCCGAGCGGCTGGGCCCGTGAGCCATGGCCGCTGACCCTGCGCGTCCGGAGCCTGTGCTCCGCAACGGGAGAGGCCACAACAGTGAGAGGCCCGCGTGCCGCAAAAAAAAAAAAAAGAAAGAAAGAAAGAAAAAAGGAGGAAGCTGAGAAACAGTGTGCTCTCAGAATAAAAGCTCAGTTCTGAAATGCAATATAATGTAAAGTGAGACCCCCTCCAGAAGTCTAGGACAACTGAAGGGAATCAAGTTGATGAACAAAGTGGTTTGCTATCTGTAATCTTTCAAGAAAAATCATTAGAAATGGACTGCTTACCTTTTTATGAGTATAGAAGATAAGGTTATATTTAATCTCTAATGACAAAAATTTCTAATCTCCTTTGTCTTAAATGAAATTTTAGGGTAATGTTCCCAGCAGACAATCTATGAAGGTACTATCTTGTCGGAGAAATACTAAGGCCTACAGGAACAAGGAAAGTGATTCATTGTCATTATAATCACTTACTTTTCGCATTTATGTACACTTAAGGATCCTTTTTACAGCTCCCAAAATACTTGTTTTCTTTAATCTCTACAGAGACAGAAAGTGAGAGGAGTAAGCCTGTCAAATAGACATTAAGAGAAAAGGAGTCCACATTCACCAAATAATATAAAGACCACCTACTTACTATTTTTTTGTTGAAGTGTAGTTGATTTACAATGTTGTGTTGGTTTCAGGTGCACAGCAAAGTGATTCAGTTATGTATAGATATATATTCTTTTTCAGATTATTTTCCATTATATGTTATTACAAGATATTGAATATAGTTCCCTGTGCTATACAGTAGGTCCTTGTTTATTTTATACCTCCTACTTACTATTAAGTGGGGAGAAGTGCTCAAAGAAAAGTCAAAAATTCTAAAATAGGAAGCCACAGCTGCTTTCCAGATTTTGACCAACTCTGAATAGAAACTGGCCTTAGGCTTCTCATATTTAGGTGCTTATTTAGAAAGACTTCACTGGGAGGGATCATTGGTTGCATGCTTTATTAAAAGAAGCCCCAGGAGTCAAATAGAGGCCACTGTTTGAAATTTGTAAATCAAAAAGGAACATTCTTTCCTTGTTCTTGGGAGGAAAATACATAATTAAAAT